AGAGGACGAACCCGCCATCAATAACTTGGCACTAACTCTCCTGCCCTGTTATACCGACCTTATCTCGCTCTTTATATTTACATAATAATTTCGGTTTAGTTTTTTTGTTAAGGTTATTCAAGCTACGTCCTACTTTTTTATGTAAAAGCCAGCCAGTGACTGGAGTCAAATTCCCTTTAAGTGCAAATATACTTGGCCAATAAAGCTGATTCTGATTTTGATTAAATGGATTACACTACATTTCTTGGACTTGTTCAACATTTTTTATTGTTTAATCACATCAGTCGGATCAGATGGAGGTTATGGGGCATTTCTTTTTATTCTGACTGAAATAATTGGCGTTTCAATGCGGTCCATTTTGAACACAGCTCCTGTTTCTGTTCTTAAAAATATCCCAGACGACACAATAAAAGGTTTTCATATAAAAGCGCCGAACTTGCTTTGAATTTTGACAGTGAAGCCGACATGGGAGCACTGATGCTGACCAATATTTTCATTTTTACTATTTCTTTTAAGACTGAGCATAACTTGTTACGCAAACATCCCGCTTCTCTTCTCTTAAGTGTCAGCTGTTCTGACGGAGGACCATTTCATCAAGGCCCTTTTCATGTCAGCCCGCACCATTATGCCAGCGGTGGATCGACACAAATAGAAAGGTTTGTGTGTATGTGTGTGTGTGTGAGAGAGAGAGAGAGAGAGCGGTGAAGCTAGAGCGACACTTTGAGTGATGCTGACGGGCTGTGGAGGATGAAGACAGAAGGATAAAAAAGCATTGACAAAGTAATGAGGGGGCAATACAATTCCGAAAGCCAGCCCGCTGTCTGGTGTCGTTTGTCAAACGACAAAACACTGACCTCAAAAACGATGATGAAAGCAAGCCGGGCGGCCAGGACGTGCCAGAACTGCAGAGTGTAGGAGTAGGGCTCGGTCGAGTCTGGAGGCTCCCTGTAGTCGCGATACCTGGGTATGTGTGTGTGTGTAGACAACAAAAGAATAACAAAAAAATAAGGTGACAGTGAAGCACAGATGATCAACTCTCATTCTGATTCCGATATTTTTCTCTAAAAGTGCTCGATTGGTTTATGTAGGTAGCCCAGTAACATTTTTATTTATTTATTTATTTATTTATTTATTTAATCAGGACAGTGCACATTAATGAACAATCTCATACAGATTGTAAATGAGCCAGATTATAGCATAGTTGCTAGTTTACATCTGTTGTCCTGAGGCAGGAAGATCAAACAACACAAAATCACAAAATACAAAATCAGTCCAAACACACGTTCAGACAATGACATTAAAGAATTAAAATGAATTCAATTCAATTCAATTCAATTTCATTTATATAGCGCCACATCACAACAACAGTTGTCTCACAGCGCTTTCCAAAGAGAGCAGGTCAGACCCTACTCTGAAATTAATTACAGAAACCCAACAACTCCCACCATGAGCAAGCACTAGGCGACACAGGCAAGGAAAAACTTCCTTTTAACAGGGAGAAACCTCGAGCAGAACCATGGTCATGGTTAATTGGGTTCATTAGTGGAGTGATAAATTATGCAAAATCCATCCTGGGGTTGCACAAACGCTGATTTTAATAATGCACAAGCTTCTGCGGCTTTATCGTCTTACACCCCGGCGACCACTCAGGCACAGACACATTAGCGGACACACCACCTGCAGTACTTCACGGCCTCTTCGAACAGCTCGGAGCCGTTCGTCCTGGGGTGCGACCGCTTCTCGAAGTCCGACACCCGGAACACCGACAGACTGGCGTTCACGTAGCCCAACATACAGCTGAGAGACAGAGAAAAACTGGTTTCCGTCAATGCGTAAAACATGCGAAATCGAAAATTCTACACCTACGGGAGCCCGAAAACAGCAATTAAGCCGTCGCTCACCCTTCCCCTGCTCGGCCCTGACCGGCGCAAGGTCCATATTTGTAGGCGTAAACAAGGCGGGGGATGAAGTCCGAAGTAACGGCGATGACAAAGGCGTTGGTGATGACCGACAGGATGCCGATGCCCTCCAGAATGCCGTACCAGATTCCTGCCGCCAACACAAGGAGCTCAGTCTTATTTTTTTTTTCTTTTTAAGAACAGCTACGTTTTTTTTTCCGCGAGGGCTTCGTTTTACCTATGTCTTTGGCCTGCGACGGCAGGGGTCGCCGCCACTGGGTGACAAACTTGTAGGCGTCCAGACGGATCTCGATGACGTTGTTGATCAGCGCCAGGAGAGGAGCCAGAGGGAAGGCGGCCACGAAGATGGTGGTGAAGCCGAACTGTAAAACTGAGACGGAACACAAACCGTCACACGCCCTAAGGGATCAACTTTGGGTTCAAAGAATCTAAAATGTTACTCTTGATTTAACCCCATAGAAGGGGTTACTTTTTTAAAACGTCATCGTCATCTGCCCTGCACATGTACAGCCGCCAAGAGACCATATAGGATAATGTTACAGGATGCATAAATAAAAAAGCACATCTCTATAGCCTACAAGACATGTGTTGCACTAAAACTAAAAAAAGAATCTTTGAATGAGTCATATGTATCTGTTTAATAAATGCGAAACGTTACCCCTACCCTAAGGCTAGTCCAAATCAAAGAGTTTAGACAACCAACCAACAGGAAGAGGAAAAATACAGATTTTATATTAAGAAAAATATCAAGAAGTTTAGAGCTTGTTCTTTTGTAGTTGCTGATTTTAATGATTTTTTTATCATGATGAGGATTAGTTGCCCAAAGACCTGAACCTGAAGCCAAATAGAAGTCCCTGATTTTCATTGGACTGGAAACATGCAACACAACTACATTAGTTAGAGTGTATGTATGTATGTATGTAGAGTGGAAAGCCACAAGATGGAAGCACGTGGAAAAAGCTTTAGGCTCAAGTTAAATCCTCATCAGTGTTGCGTAACATGGATCTGGCTGCTTGGTCGCCATTTGAAAAAATAGATCTTGTTAGGAAAAAAGTGATTATGCTATGTAGGATTAGACCCCAGAGTGCACGTGGGGTTACTGGAACAAATTAAAGGTTGTCTGCAGAGGTTAAGCCATGTTAAAACACGTGTAGAAAATAGCGATACAACATACCCATTTCCAAGTATTCGTCAAAGAGTCCGTAGGCATTCATGGGCTGCAGGTTATAGTCTCTCTCCCACTGTGGGAAACTGGCCTTGGCAATGTGACTGTGCTCCCTCCTCAGCCTCCGCCTAGTCCACCAGTTCTGGACCAGCCTAAAAAGAAGGGGAGATGAACTTTTTACTGTGACTTCTTGCTCAACAATACAGGAGATCAATTTTAGATTTCAGATAACGCATGTAATTTGTCATCAATCAATGAACGTTTGTGTGAATTGTTGGCATATGCTGACATCTTCTAGCTCAAGGGTGGGCCACTGTGGTCTGTTCACATAACTGATTCACATTAAATGGATCTCTTGAAATGGGCTTTTGAGCTTTGCACAGGACTGCTGGTGTCGTATTGATTTAATTAGGGTTCGTTGAGGCAGGGAATCGTGTAAAAGTTGCAGCACAGCGGCCCTGGAGCTGCCCACCCCTGTAATCAATCTGATGTAATAACCAAAGTATCTCTCTCCTGATCTTTGCATGTGAATCCTTTGAACCTGTTTTGATTTAAAAAAGGAGCAACTTGTTTTTGGCCGGCCGTCAGTTTGTACTTTGTTCAGTCTGGACAGGAATGAAGGAACATCGACAATTGCCATTCCTTCCAGAATATGTTAATGGAATTTCTAAAAACTCACGGGCAGCCCAGCTCCATGAAGTTGTTCCATGTCTGTTTTAGCACCATTATAATCCCCATCTGCATACAGAGGTCAATCAGACATCCGCTGGGGTGGCACTAGAGCAACAGGAAAAGAGGAAGACAGGGTCAACATGGCTAAAACCACGGCTAACACACTTGGAAATAGGCACATAGCTGTGAAACCCTTTGTCCCTGCACGTGTCTAAGGGAAGTAATCATAGGTAAAGGTGTGAAAGCACTCAACAACAGACTGAAATGCGGGTTAGGTTCAGAAACTGTCAAATTTAAAATCATCTACGAGATTACTGATGTCAAAGAAATGTTCATATCATCTATTCTGCAACACCAGGTGCGAACAAATGTGTCCACTTGTGACACAAAGAACAAAAAGTGAATCCGAAATCTGTTTTTTTCCAAATCTCGACGTTATCGCACTGATGTCAGACTCTCATTATCAAACCCCTTTTTCCATCTTTACTAATGTGGATTGAATGGGGAGCAAGTTCTAAAGGCCCAGTTGTGATTCTATATGAATATAAATAGCTGACTGGGGCTAAAATTGTTTGGTTGCACGTCACATTAGCAAGATTTTCCGTTTCCTGCAGCTGCAGGGACACAAGTGGGAGCACATTAGCTCAGCACCTAAAAGCGTCGGCTCAGGGCTTTTGTCCCCCGGGAACTCATCTTGTTATTTTCCTTTGCACGCTCCCAGAAGTAACACTTAGTGCTGATGGGGGTTAAAAGCCTGGCAGTTGGCATACAGCGATAGCTAAACGCCCGATTTAGAAATACTTGGATCCATAATGCTGCGAGAACCTCGCGGGAGAAGCACGGCCACTACTCACTTCTTCCAGTTTCCAGCGGTTGATGAGACGGAGATATGCACCCGGCCGGCCAGTGAATCTGTCATCCGGGAAAAAAGCAAACCAGAAGTTACCTTTTATTCAAAGTCTTTACTTAAAGTGATATAAAGAGAGGATATTTATAGAGACCAACAATAAATTAGACGGTTCTTGAACAGCTAAGGCTGAGGGTACTCAATTAGCCTCCAAGAAAGATCTAATTTGAAGGTTTCTCCTACGTTAAATTTTTTTGTAAATATACAAAAACTATAGCCCATTCCGCTAGAGCAACATTTGTGATGTAACCTTTAAGAGACCTATAAAAACAACAAGCTAAAAATCCTTTTTTTTAAACTTGAAACATACATTTACATAAAATAGGAAGAATCATACTGATTAATAATACGTTTTCTTAACCCTACCCAACTGTAGGGTAAGGAAATGTATGATTATATGCGCTATAAATATATAATTGTATGAGCTATCTAAGTGCATGTACATTTACAGTTGCATTTATTAGATCCAGATAATGTAACCATCTTTGATCCATAGCCACAGGGAGATTAATTAAATAAGTCCATGAATGCTCAAATATTTGGGGTCAAACTGTTTTTTTGCTAAAAAAAGTGTCTAAACAAATCTATTCACACATATACATTTGAAAAAAATATATTTTTCCATGAAACCCCAAACCTCTCATAAGAAAATTACCACTAAAAAGACCCTCTTCCTCTAAATATTTGTCTTTTAGTACAGTTTCGAAATATGTAGTTTGCCAAAATGTCTCTGATTCAGTCAGATAAAAAATAATTTGATCGACATCTATAGACAAAATGCCAAAGTGCACAGAAAAAAAAAATCTGATTTAAATTAACCTTAGCGTTAAGCATAGGGTCAGAAAGACCCTTTTTTTTGTATGTTCTCAATATATTTGGGATCCCACCGATTAGATTGAGTTTTTTTCTCTTTGACGTCTCATTCATTTAAAACTTTTTCTGTATAGACACAATTTATAACCCCCCAAAGAATACCACCATGTAACTCAGAGGCAGTTTCACTTGTGGAACATCGATCTGCCTGTCCTCATTAATCCCGTCTGCATTTTAACAATGTCCTTGCCACTAGCGGTAGCATGGGGTGGTGTGTATTGGCTCGGATAGTGCAGCTTCTCCAGGATGTCTGCTCCTTTGTGCCGGGAGGAACAGGAAGACGATTGGCAGAGGCCTGCAAAATGGCCTCCAGCAGGCCGTTAATGGGCATGCTTACGCTCCAATAGTCAGAAACAGACTCCATGAGGGGTGGTACGAGGGCCTGTGTTCACAGCCCGACACTATTCAGCCTAATTGGCATTTTTAGGACTGGCAGATTTCTGGTGCTCTGTTCTTTTGGGTCAGTTATTTTTTAGGGAAGCACATCCTTAGAGCCTTGGGTACACAAGCAAACTATTTCAAAACTACACTAAAAGACAAATATTTAGAGGAAGAGGGTCTTTTTAAATGTCATTTTTCTTTTGAGAGATTTGGGGTTTCATGGAAAAATACTTTTTTTTTCATTTGTATATGCGTGAATGGATTTGTTTAGACACTTTTGTAGCAAAAAAAAAACAGTTTGACCCCAAATATTTGAGCATTCATGGACTTATTTAACATGTCTTACTGTCTTTCTGTGGCTGCCATTAGGTACAGGGAAGGGAACCGCAAACTCATTTTTACACCATCTGATCTGATCTTTCCACTTTTATTTTGAGTATTACTCTGAACTCCACGGCTTTCACGTTGATCCTTCTTGTGTTATTTTGTTCTCAATGTATTAAACTGTGAAATTCAACAGGAACATTCCATTAAACAAGCTCTCAGATGTGTTGTTTTTAATTTGCACTGCACAGCTGTGGCTCGGAATGTGTTCCCGATCTGATTCCGAGCTCCTCACCTTCCCAAAAAGAAGGCGATGTAGAAGGTTGAACTGTTAAGATTAACGAACTGGAAAAGGAACATCTTGAAGGTGAAGCTGTTCTCCCACTCTGACTCGGTCCTTGGCTGCTCTGTGGCCACACGGAACAAAAAGGAATCACAAAAATGACGATAGAATCGATTAAAAATACTCATTTTGACACAATTTGTTGTCCAAATGTCACAGTGAACACTCCAAATCTTTGTAAAGATGACAAATACTACTTTAAATTAAATGAAATACATTGCAAGGAGCTTACCTAAGTTTGTAAGGAGGAGAGCAACTTTTTCATAAAGCTGTAAAAGGAAAAGAATTTGACTGAACGACTTTACTCAAAGCTAACTAATAACAATTTCCATCCATCCATCCATCCATCCATCCATCCATCCATCCATCCATCCATCCATCCATCCATCCATCCATCCATCCATCCATCCATCCATCCATCCATCATCCATC